ATTTTAATATTTCTTTATAAACATCAATCTCAATGTTCATAGCAGAAAGGGCAAACTGGACCCTGAGGTGTTTGGTTTTTCTTAAGAGTCTAATATTCAGTTCTACCATTAGGAAATTTCAAACATGTTACCTCAACTCTGAAAATTATTTTACTTCAAATTTAAGAGCAAGTATTTACATACCAAACTTTTAATTATTTATGAGCAATGCCAGATGTCTGAAGTGGTCATATCTGAAATTATCCTATATTTGAATTTGGATTGAGTACTGTGGGAGTGATATGCAGGAGCATGTCTCTTAGTCATAGTCCATGTCTCAAGTCAGAGGTTGCCAAGTTTCTCTGTAAAGAACACAACAGGCTTCGGAGAGCATATGATCTCTGCCTCAACTACTCATAAGCTGCTAATATAATGCAAAAACTATATAGACTATATAAATGAACAGTTGTAGTCAAATAAAACTTTTATCTATGGACACAGAATTTACATATCAAATGGTTTTCATGTGCTATTAGGGTTTTTCCACAATCTAAAACATGAAAACCAATCTTACCAACTTTTAAAATTTAAGAGTCAGGAGAAGTGATTTTTGTTTTATTTTGAGACAAAGTCTCAAGGTGCCAAGTTGCTTCATGTGAGCATATGACCCTAACCCTGACCTTCCTTACCTCCACCTCTCAAGTGCTGAGACTACAGCCAGTGCTTCCACAGCCAGTTTGGGGCTGTGTTGGGGACTAAACTTGCATTGCTAGTTTAGTAGCATAGTAGCATAGGCAGGTTCTCTACCAACACAGCTGGTTGAGACCTTGTATGTAACCCATGCTGCCTTGAAAGCTCCAGTCTCCCTGCCGCCTCCCAGTTGTGCTTGGTTAGCTCTGTCCACTTGAAATGCTAGAGCCTGGGAAAAAGAAACCTCAATTCAGAAAATGCCTCCATCAGATTGAATGTCTGTGGGATATCTTTTTGATTGACGATGATGTGAGAGGGTCCAGGCAATGCCAAATCTGTGCAGGTGATCTTGCGTGGTTTAAGAAAAGAAATAGAATGATCTATGGGAAGCTAGCTAGCTAGCAGCGCTCCTTCGTGATCTTTGCTTCAGTTCCTGCCTTCAGGTTCCTGACTTCCTGACATGAGGGACTGACATCTGTGAAATCAACTCTTTCCTTCCTATGTTGTTTTTGGTCATGGTGTTTATCACAGTAATAGAAAGCAACCCAGGACATCAGCTGCAGAAGTAATTTTATATAGGTGCAAGGGCAATTCAATGAAGGACAATAAGCTTTCAATTAAAGGTGTTATAGTGACTATTTACCTAAACACATCCCGTTCAAAAAAACCAACCACAACAATCTCACACCTGTATAAAATTAGCTCAAAAGGACCACAGATTTAAACAAACAAAAAACAATTGAAATTATAAAGCAAAAAAAAATGAAGTTATAAGGGGAGAATGACACCCAAAAATGATTCATTAAAGAAAAGAGTCAATAAAACATCGCTGGTTTTGTTGTGTGAAACATCTTGTTAAACTGAGGGAAAAGCAAGCAATAAACTACATGAAAGTATTTGCAAACCAAACAATGAATAACAGAATTGTACCTGTAATAGACAAATAATCCTCAATAAAAAAATTCTTAAAATATTTTTTAAAAACAATATTATTAGAAAATTGGCACCAAAAACACAAAAACAAACAAAGAAACACCAAGGAACAAATTTTACCGATGAGGCTCTAAAAAGGACAAAAAAAAGTTAGTTAATATTACTAGCCATGAGACCATAAGATAATCATCTCACAGCTACTGAAACTGCTAAAATAAAAATAGTTACAACATCAGATACTGACAAGAATGTAAAAAAATAAAGAATAAAAGAATTAAGTCACTAATGGGAATGCAGAGAGTACACTTAAGAAAACAATATAGCAACATGGTAAAATAAATAACCAAGCCATAAACATATACTCACCACATGACCTAATAAAAACATTTCCCAAAGAAATGAAGATTTGCTTCCAAACAAAACTCTGAACAGAAAACTTTATTTCTAATAGCCCCAAACTAGACACCAAAATTCCTTAAATCCAAGAATCACTGTATACCCTTGCTGAGAATACTATCCAGTAATGAAAAAGTGAGTCACTGACATATACACCACATGGATGATCTCAGAGACATCAGGCTGAGACTAATAAGCTAGCTTCAAAAGACCTCGAATATGTAATATTCTCAAATGACAAAAATTATAAAGATAGAGACAGACTAGTGGTTGTAATTGGTTAGAAACAGAATCGAGGGTAGGGAGACAGTGCTATTAAGGCAAAGTCATGAGAGATGTTTCTGCAGAGTTTTGTGCTTTGTTTACAATTTGTTTACACAAATTTACATATAATAAAATGGCACAGAAAAATACACACACACACACACATCACACACACACACACACGTACATATATTTCCTGGTGTTGGTATTATACAATAGTTATATAAGATATAATCACTGAAGTAAACTGGAAAAAGGAAAAGGGCTTCTCTGTGGTATTTTCTATGAATCTATAATTATTTCAAAGTATATCGGAAGTTCCTAAAAATCTTAGAGTAAGCAAAAGGACAAGATTCCTTTGTAAGCAACAATCTACTTAATTGAGGACCAAGCACAGTATTAAATAAATAAAGCAAGCAAGCAAGCAAGCAGGCAGGCAAGCTGGTTTTAATCATGAGCCAAGCACTATTTTAAATGATTTCCATACAGTGCCCCCACCATCCCTATAACAACCATATACATGAAATACCACAATCTCATTGTACAAACAGGAAAACTGGGATTAAAACGAGACTAATTTTTGATCCTAAGTACTAGAACCAAAATTTACTGCCAGAGCCATGCTTCCTGAACCTAAAGATAATCAAAATAAACATACTGTGAGATTTTTTTTTTATTTACAAGTATTGGCCCAACTATGCAAAAAGCTTAAACTAAAAAATATTAACACCGCTTACTTTATACAGAAGCTTCAGTGTGGTTCAGATATCCAGACCACTACAGTACAGGTTTGCCTAAAATTGGGCCTTCTTGACCGGAGGGCCCAATTTCCCCCAGAATATATATGTTTGGGTATACGATCCAATTATCTCTAAACCAGAAGAGAACCGTGTTCAAATGGCCTGGTTTTAACCCATTTCTCTTCTTCATGTACTGGTAAAATGCTGTACAGTCCAATGTAGTAGCCATAAGCTGTATGTACATGTTATAAATTACAATAAAATAAAATTTCAGTTTCTCAGTCATTCAGCCACATTACAAATCTGTTTAAGTGTCGCATATGGCTACCACATTCGACAACACAGATACAGAACATTTACATCATCTGAGAAAATTCTATTCATCAGCATTAGAGAATTGGTTTTGTACGATTTTAAAAGAACACGGGGCCTGTACAGTCTTCCCAGGCGCACACTGTGAATTACTACACGTGTCAGCACCACCCTCCCCCATAAAGGGGAGCTGAGAGATCTCTGATCATTTCTAGTCAGCTTACTGACTGCTGCTAGAATGAGAATTGTCAAGGCATAGGGAAAAGCCAAGCAAAGGAGTGGAGAAAAGGAAGCAAGGGAAAGCAAAGCCAGGCAGACCGGTGTTAAAGCTTGAACTAGCATTTAGGAGCCTGGGTTCTATGCCATGAGCACTAACTAGTATTCTTTCCTACAGCACACATTTGAAGGAAATGATTATTCAAATTTCCCTGCAGCTGTGTATGGACACACACCAGGGAGTCTGGGGAATAAGGGTAAAAATATAAGCTACTCCAATATGCAATTATTTTGGAAACTGGCACACCAGACAGTTTTCCAATTATACTCCTAAAGATGGTATCTGGATACCACCAAAGAAAAATATAGATGCAGTTCTATCCAGTGGAAATGAAAACCTATTATTTGCACCTAAATACAAACACACACACACACAGGTTAGCACTATCACTAAATATATGGGAAGAATCCAAGCTACTCAAAATTTTAGATTCAAAGATTAGTTCACTAATAACTGGAAATGTCTCAGGATTCAAACACATATTAATGTGTTAATGTATTACTAAGATTATGAATATTGCAAGTTATAATAAATACGGCATAGGCAAAAGCATACTTCATTTCTTCCATAAAGAATATAAATACATGCTACAAGTATCTGGCAATAGAAGACACCAATTTTGGCCAACCTAATTCCTCTCAAAAGCACACTTAACTAGCCCTACCTTTTCTATGTGAAATACCTTTAAAGACTGCTGGAATTGCAGAGATTCTCAAACAGAGCTCTGGCATAAAGAAATGGAACTAGAATCTGCATCTACATCCTATTGCACACTTCCTTCCCTTCGGAGAGATGGTTGGTCTATTTCCTAGGATTCAAAGGGTGATAAAACCTTCCTCGAACCAGTCCTATCCATACTAACAATTAAAAGGGCTAATTAAAAAAAATAACGATTTTATTTACCACGTCTAGCCGAAAAAGAAACATCGTAAATGATTTTGTTAACCTCGCTGAAGCTAAGGCAATCAGTGAGTTGTGTAACCTCTTTGAGAATTGAAACTCAGAGCCCAGAGTCGAACCTGTAAATATGTAGGTGCCGGGAATGAGAAAAACTAAAGATTTCCAAGAAGGAGAACAAGAAGGGACTTTCAGTGACAAGCCTTTACTTCAGAAAGGCAGGTTTTAGTACCCCACCTACTAATCCGATGCCAAGCACCGCGCGGCGCGGAAACCCTGCCGAATTTGAAAATAAATGTTGCAAAGGCTCCGGGGGACTACAAACAGGGATGGAAACTGACAGCTCGGCCTCAGAGAGAAGCCTCAAGTAGGTCAAACTGTGGCAACCGCCTGCAATCCGGAGTCCACTTCAGTGGGCTCAGGGGAGTAGAGCTGCGTCTTTCAGTCCTAAAGGGGCGGGATATGGGCACTGAGACCTACAGCCCGAGCCCCAGCGGTTCGCCTGTTCTCACCTCTCTTGGGGGCCTTGATCAAAGGCACCCCTCCGCTCCTCTCGCCGTTTTCCTGCTTGTCCTTGTGCTTTAGATCGCCCGGAACGCAGGCACCGGGGTCACCATCGGAGCCGCGGTGGTGATGGTGCTTGTGCCGCTCCTTGTGGCCCTTATGCTTGGGCCCGGCCGCGCTCACCGTCAGGGGCGAAAAGGTGAAGAGGGCCGAGGTGCCTGGGGCCGGGAGCGGGGCAGCGACAGCGGGCCCGGCGGGTGCCAGCGACGGTGGCGGCGGAGGCGGCAGGAGCAGAGGTTCAACAGGGCCTGGGACGGTTGGGACGGCATTCGTTGGAGGCAGCGGCCCGGGATGTTGGCGGCTACGACGCCGCCGATGAGGGGGAGCGAGAGGGGGGTCCTGGCTCGGTCGCCCCCGCTTCTCCTGAGAACCCCCGCTGCTCGCCCGGCGCTGCCGCTTCACTCCTCGCGGCGAAACCCCAACATGGGGTTTCTCCTTCCCCTCTTTGTCCGGCTCCTCCTGCGCCGCCACCGCCCGTACTACGCGAACCGCTCCGACCTGCGCAGCCATTTCACCCACAAACACACATTTAAATGGCCCGACCGCCCCCCCGTCCGCGGTTCGCGCAAGCGCTGCCCGCGCATGGCCCGCTGGGCATTGGAGTCTCTCCCCCGCCCTCCACTGATCGGTCGTTCTTGAAGACCTGAACATGCCGGAAACGACAGTTCCGGCACCTCTCCGCAGGCCTCGCCAACCGAGCTTCTATTGTAAAGCACCCTGGTCGCGCAAAGCCTTGCGGGAGTTGTAGTTCCACCGACCTCCGCGTTCTCTTCCCCTCCCCCCCACTCCCCACCCTCCGCCCCTCCTGCTCTCTGAGTGGAGGAGCGGAGGGGAGCGTGCGCCTAGGCACGCTTCGGGGTGCGACGCAACTGCCGCCCGCCGGCGAGTTGCCGCCAACCGCCCTAACGGCCCAAACAATGTTAATAGGTTTCAGAGTCTGGCGGTGTGTTCAGGCGCTCCACTTCCAGTGTTCCTCCTTCATCTTACCCAGAGGTGGTCTCCATAGTGACTTTTCAATTTCGTATTTCTCTCATAGCCTTTGTGAGGTAAAAGAATCTCCAGCCTTTACCCATGATTAAAGAGGAGAAAAAGAATTTCGGAATATGTAAAAGGACTATTTCGCTGTAGAGTATAGTAAAGCTGCTATGGGGGGGGGGGGGGAGAAGAAGCAGCATTTTCTATAGCCTTGCTGTGGTAACAGCTACAGGCTCAAGGCAGGTGCAAATATTGCCTTAGGAGTCTCCCGAGCACAGCTCCGCCTTGCCAGAGTCACTTTTCCCTCCAATGCTTGGGAAGGTAGAATCCGGCATTTTTGTTGAACGTATAGCTATAGTTAACAAAAAAAGTCTCGATAGAAACTTTTTAATTTTTTTTCAAACCATAAATATAAATTTGCAAATGTGAAAAGCGTTGTCAACCTGACACTGTTCGCCAGGAGATGGTGTTTATTCAAATCCATTTTGAGTTTCATTACTTTAGCTTTTTACCTAGAATTACATTTAAGTCCTTAAGAAAGATATTTGGAATAACTGGCTACAATGATGTACTAGGCATATAAAAATAACTGTGGTTTAACACCACTAGTTCCCAGAGAAGTAACTTAGGTTGAGTGAACTTCTGCAATAAAAGTTATCGTTTAAAATAGAGAAGTTTTTGAACACTTATTGGGTATACATTGTACTACAATAAACAAATAACAATACCGGTCAATTTGCTCCAGCATTGCTTTTCCTAACAAAAAGCATTAAAACACAAATAACACTGTTGCTAGGTTGTATTTTCATATGTAAAAATATTAACCTGATAGAGAAAGTAAAGCGAACCCTTTAAAATAATAAAGATCCATTAATTTATTTATTGTGTAAAACTAGATTTGAAATATAATTTATGTAAGAGAATCCATAGTCATATAGAAATACATTTTCAAATCACCAGTACCTTTAAATGATTGTGAACATAAATTTGTTTTATGTGAACACATTTATATATAGGGCCTCTTCTATGAAGAAAGCACTATCAAAAACGAATTTAAAATAATTTTAAAGTGTTGACAAAAAGTAACTGCTGTTGATTTTTTTTCTTGAATTGGTAAGTGAATAACTGGTTAAACATATAGTTGAACATCTCATTATAGCATCACAAAAGTGATCACTGCCATTATTTGTACATCATCTTTCCTTTTATGCAGCATTTGGGAAGGTAGAAGAGATACACTCCATTTAGACAAAAATAACATCCCAGAACAGTCATTTTCACAAGCAGTACTACAAGCACAAAGTAAGGGGTGTTTTGTTTTTAAATAAAACCTTTAGTCAGTCATGATGGAACACATCTGCAATACCAGCAGTATGCAGCATGAAGTAGGAGGATCATTGGTTTGAGGCTGCCTGGGGCTACATATCAAGACCTGTCTACTTTCTTACGTTATTTTTAATATTAATGTATAAATTTAGTTGAAAGGATGGAGAGATGACTCAGATGGTTAGTTAAGTGCACTTAACTGCTCTTGCAGAGGACCCTGGTTCAGTTCCCAGAACCCACACAGCAACTCACAACCTGTAATTTCAATTCAAGGGATTCAGCTCCCTCTTCTGGCCTTGATGAGCACTACACATAGGTGATGTACATCCTTACATAAAGGCAAAAACATTTGTATATATAAAAATATTTTAAAGAGAATGTTAGTTAAGATCAAATTTTTATAAGCCTACTGAAATGAATGTTTATACTGAACTTGTGAGCTTGTTATCCCAGCCCTCCAAAGGCTATGGCAGGAGGAGACATCATCTCAAAACAAAAATGTATATTTATAGTAAATTTATATATGGAGAGAGAGAGAAAGTAAACTATAAGTAAAGTGAGAAAGTAAAAGTAAAAAATAAATACACTTTGAAACATAAACTGAAGGTCAAACTTTATTGGCAGTGCCCAATAAAATATGAGGAATATGAAAATACAAGGTTACTGGAAGTTTTTCACATATTGCCTTCCTTTTCAAGACTATTGACACAATTTATCTTCATTAATGATATTATTATTATACCAGTATTCTAGTAGCTTTATTTGCAGGTACAGTTTTAACAAATATTCTTATAAATCTCGAGGTGTGTTAAATATTCCAAGTTGATGGTGGGCTCCTTGGTCCTTTTGGTTTTGAAAAACGATTTCCAAAACCTGGGGATAAAAAATAAAACTGAACGAAAACAGGTATTTTTACACAGAAATGAATACTTGAATTTTAGAGTATAGCATCAAAAAAGTTAAGCACCCTCTTCGATCAATTTAGTAATAGACTGTTAAGGCATTATAGTAATTAAAGTTTAAGTGAAAATAGACCATTGTTTTTGTTGTACTGGGGATCAAACAACTGGCCTTGCATATGCTAGGCAAGTATTTTGTACGGGGCCACACCTCAAACCCAAATACTACTAATATTTAAACTTAGACCACTTACAGATTAACTAATATTAATAGCTGTATGAAGAACTCTGATTATAGTAGCCTGTAATAATAGAATATATAACACCATTTATCTGTTTTATTCACTCACCCACTGACCACAAAACAAATTTCATTTTTATAAAATTAAGCAATAATATTTATCTGGTATTATTAAATCTAGTTCTGTATCTATGAAGTCATAGAAACTCCTGAGTTTACTAAAACATTATGTTTTCAAAACTTAGAAAATATAAAATAAACCTAAAAAGAAATGGTTCTAAATGAGTTATAATTACTTTTCCTGAAATGCACCCCCCTTGCCTCCACAGAAGAATAAGAGAAATCTTTCATATAAAATAAAAGCTAGCAAAAAATTTCAGGATGAGGACATTTATCCTTCTCCACCAGCAATATATGTCTTGATTGTGATAGATTCTAAAAGCATCTTACACTTAGCAACTTTGGTGCCTTAAATTTAAAAACAAAGGGTTTGAAAGAGGGAGAACAAAATATGAAAAACTCAAAGATCTTTCTAATACTTACATTTCATCACCTTCCCTAGCAACTGCTAATGTTTAAAACAAAATTTAAGTCTAAAAACAAAACTATAGTAGAGTAGGCCAGGAATGGTAGCAACTACTTATAATCCAAACACGTAGGAAGTTAAGCCAGGAGGACCACAAGTTCAAAAACAGCCTGGTAAGCACTGCAAAATTCTCATACATACATACACATACACACACACACAAACACACAAACATACAAACACACACACACACTCCTATATGCCAGAGCTGGAAGAAACCTCTGATATTAACTAGTAATTTTAAATGTTAGTGGAGGTGTACAGAGCCTAGTTCATATAAACTTTACTCTTTTGAAAATGAAGAGAAGGAAAATGAAGTAGTTACACATTGAAATCATCTCCTCAGTACGGGTACCTTGACTATAGCCAATACATTGTGCAGAGGGTGAGGACTTCTTGTGTCCTCACTTAGAACAACTACAGTTTCAGATACCTACATCTGATCTGATTCATTAGCTAATTTGTAATAGTTTAGAACTGTTTTCTGCATATAGATCAATTCAGGAAAAAGAAACATGAACCACATGCTTTTTTTTTTTCAACTTGGGGAGGGGGTCGTTTCTGATATAGAATCTCCCTATGCAAGCCCAGCCTGGCCCTGAACTCATGATCCCCCTGCCTCAGCCTTGCTTGTTCTGGGATTATGGGTGTGCTCCTTCTGAGGCAAATTAAATATTTTTAAGTAACATATTCTTACAACGTTTATTGCCACTACTTCAGGAAGCACTGAAACCTGAGTGCTTTCAAGTATACAAACCTTTGAAATCTAGGCATGTTTGAGAAGAAACAACATGGATGCAGCTAAGATTTCATTCCAGGGTCACACAATATAAAGTCAGATGATCCATACATCACTCAAATGATTTAGAGAAAAGAAGGAAGCAGAAAACTTTTGTAGCCAAGGCAAAATTGTGTGTTTTTTCATAGTTTATACAATGTTCCATCTGAATGTTTTATACAAATTTTAACTTTTTTCTGGGTTTTTTTTTTTTTTGAGAGAAGGTTTCTCTGTGTAGCCCTTGCTGTCCTGGAACTTGCATTGTAATCCAGCCTGACCTCAGACTCAGAGATCCACCTGCCTCTGCCTCCCAAGTGCTGGGATTAAAGGCACATGCCACCAACATCGAACCAGTCTTAACATTTCAATTGTAACCATTGAAACATGGAGTGAATGAAATGCAAACCAAGTTTTATAGCTAAAGAAATAGAGCATTTATAGTAAACATTTTCTCAAAATGATATAAGGATTATTATAACAGAGACTGATCTCTCAGTTTCTGCTTCTTCCTCTGAAATAAAATTACATTTGGGCAATTGTATGTCTGCCTAGCAGTATTACATTTTCTAATCTCTCCTACAATTTTAAATTTTTAAATTGTATTTAAATAAAAATGAAATTGTATTTAAAATTTTATATAAAAATAATTTCTTCTATGTGTTTGGATGCTTTGCCTTCATGTATGTCTGTGCACCATGTGCTTGCGGTACCTGCAGAGGCCAGCAAGGGACATCAGCTCCTCTGAAACTGGAGTTACAGACACTGTGAGCTACTATGTTGTGAGTGCTTAGAATTGAACCTGGACCCTCTGAAAGAATATCTAGTGCTCTTAATCACCAGTCCATCTCACCAGACCCAGATTATAAGCATGTTTAACTCTGCTATAAAATAATGCACATACCAAAATTCAGAAAGGAGCTGGAATTTTTTGGCTGAACACATTCGGTGGGCTTGCTTGGCGAGGAAGAATTACAAACACCTGTAATCAGAGGAAAAATATGTAAGGTAAAGACTGACAAGGGATTTAGATTACCATTTATTTGCTTGTATGATTATTGAAATTAAACATTTCCTCCAGAACAATACTCCAAAATAAATATATCAGTATCATATTAAATGTGCTCAAATGGTTGAAATTATATTTTTATAACTATGATACAGAGTGGAGGGAAAGTCCCAATCTGCAGGCATAAACTTACTAAATATCCCATGCTGGCCTTCAGATTGGCCTTCTTCCTACCTAGGCATCCCAACTACTGGGATTACAGACCTGAACAACCATACCAAGCAAGATTTATTTTCTTTGCAAATAGATTATATAGCAATACCCAAAACCAAGGAAATGATGTCACAAATCCACTACTTTAGGACTCACATTTGGCCTTGGAGTTTATCTTTGTCCTCTGATAAGTTATAACACACACTTTCAATGTCTCACATTAATTAATCTATGGCAAGCTGAGGTTTTTCTTATATTTCCCTCGACTCTTAAATCTCCTTTACTTTCCAGTCATTTTTCCTCATAGATGATGCTAAATTAGGGCCGTAGTCTTTCAAACATATTGTTATATTTCTTGGTTCGCTATTGTATTTACTATGTGTGGGCCTAAAAATACCTATGTTCCTAATACCTTAATATATGCATATATCAATTCTTGCCAGGTTTTAAAAGGAATTTTATAAAACTGAGTCTGCAATTGACAGTGCACAGTCTTAAGGAATAAAGATTTCTCGAGTTTATATAAACTTTCTCAAAAACAGTTTATAAGTAAGAAGAAATTACTGCTTACCTTTTTTGTTGTTGTTCTTAACATTTTAAAATGCAATGTGAAAACTACATATATGTGTTTACACATATGTAATATTAGGCTTCTAGAAACATCTAGAACATTTTCTTTCTGGATGATACTCAAGTATGAGTCTCTAGAATACATTGCAGATTTCAGGCATTTCCAATTAAATGCACACTTACTAAATACTGTGTGTCAAGAACTGAGCTAGGAACTAAGGATAGACATGAACACAGTTGAATGAAGATAGGGATATACAAAGATGTCAGTAATCTCTACATGTGATCTGAGAGAAAGTATTTGTCCCAAAGAGGAATATTCATTCTTCTTTCTTTCTTTCTTTCTTTCTTTCTTTCTTTCCTTCCTTCCTTCCTTCCTTCCTTCCTTCCTTCCTTCCTTCCTTCTCTCCCTCCTTCCTTTTTTTCAACAAATGCAGCAAAGATCAGCAAACATATATTAGAGAGAACTGATATGTTACCTATGGCCTGTTACTCTTGCTGCCTGCTCAACATGTATCAGCCAGATTAAACAAGATAAATGTTTCCTTTACATCCTCCCCAGTCTTCAGTTGCCACATATCAAGTGGAATTATTTGTATGTGTAGGATAATGAAATGACTAATAACTTGGGCTGAGTTCCATTGTTAGTACGTTGGCATGGTCACACCAGATGTGTGTAAGTTTGATCTCATTACTAGTTAATCAGTGACCACATGTAACTAAGTGGCTAAATATAAGACATAGTATCACGCCTAATCATAATGTTAAATGTATTGTTAAGAATTTATTCAGGCAGAGGCAAATGAACCAGGCCAACATCCGGCCAATTTACACTAGTAAATTTACACTAGACTGTTGCTTAAGCAACCAGGAAAAGGCTAATTTTTTCCATCATAAGCCTGAAACCACATGGTAAAAAAAAAAAAAACAATCTGCCTATGAGTAAGTTTATAAAGTAAAATAAAACCAGGGCTGGAGAGATGGCTCATTGATAAAATGCTTGCTGAGCAAGCATGAAAAACTGAGTTCAGACTCAGTACCCAGGTAAAAAGCTAGGAATGGCAGCTGTATGCCTATTATCCCCACATGTGGGAAATAAAGAAAGTAGACTCCCTAGTGCTTGCTGACCAGCTAGTCTATTCCATTAATAAGCTCTCAATTCAATGAGAGACCTTGTATGGAAAACAAGATACATGGTTAAGGAAGATATCGGTCACCATTTGTGCATACATATGTACACACAGGCTTACACACATAAGAATGAAACAAAGCTCTGTGGAATAAGGGTTAGCTACTTAATGAGTTATTTGAATTCTTAGTTGCAAGACAATAATAAATGCTTCTCTTATGATCCAGTTACCCTAAATTGGATTTTTTTTTTTTGGTCACTTGCAACTATAGTATTTCTAAACAATTAAAATTTCCCTGGAAAGGAAAAAGAAGGGGATTCTCAGGGAGATTTCTCTCCCCCGGATGTAAATTGTTATTCATCGTATTTATGGTTGGGCCTGACTTTGTGGGGGTATCTATTTTTGTCATTAATCTTTTTGGTAGCCGGTTAGCTGTGCCTTCTGTGGTATCAGACAGGCATATCAGTCCTCGGCCCCATAAGGGAACTGGGTCTGGGCCATTCCCTTTAAGGGTAAGAGGGTCCTTCCCCATATCTGTGGCAAAGTTTTGTTGGTCTTGGTGGTGTCAGAGGCAGTCAGCAGCAGATTTGCCATGAGCTTTCAGCTTTAGAGAGATAAAAGTCAACAAGGCATGATGGAGAGTATTTCAGGGGGACTCCTTCTGAGGGGGTACCATTCCCCCTCTTTTGTTTTTAAAGCCAATTTTTGAGAGTTCTTGTAAAATCAGGGCAGAAGCGCCAACAGTTGCTCCTTCCACACTCAGAGTCATGAAGACCCTATTTAAGGATATATAAATCTATATTAATAATCTTTTGTCAAAGGACTGTTATAGCACCGCTGACAACTAATCAGACTATATAATATATCGATTAGTAATAGCTTCTTCTACTTTTTGTGAGATTACCTCTCTTTTGTCAATTAATTGTTGAGGAAAATTAGGGTTTACCTCTCTCTTGAGAATATTGAACAGAGACTAATTCTTTTGTGGAGAGCTTAAAATGAATCACCCGTGATGTCTGCTGTTAGAAGTTCTAATCCAGATGCTGGCCTCCGAATTTATACTACTCAGACCTTTGAAGGGCCACTGACAAGAACATCAAACAGCTAGAGATTCACATCACTAATCTGAAGAAATCCCTCGTTTCGCCATCTGAAGAGACCTCCTAAAATCACAAAGATCCTTATTGGACTTGATTTACTCTAGTACAATAGAAAAGGCTGTATACAGCTCTTGACTGTGTACAACCCTCAAAGAAGAAGGTTGCCTTTACATAGACAAGACAAGGAGGGTTAAAGAGAGCATGAAATAGGTAGTGAAGGCCCTAAGAAAAATCAGAGAGCGAAAGAGACAGATGAATGCTGGTACAAGAAGTGGTTTGCAGCCTCTCCAAGGTTGTCAACCCTATTTCCTTCCATCTTGGGACCATTATTTGGGTTCTTTTTGCTTTTTCCTGCTGGTCCCTGGCCCTTAAATAGGTGGACTAACTCTGTGATACAACAGATAAATAATTTGGTAGCAAAACCTACTCAGATACATTATCATAAGTTAGCTATGGAGGACCATGAGACTCAAGATGAGGTTGTTACTTTATACAGGGTGTTTCCAAAACCCATCTCCACCCAACCTAAAAGGGGGGACTTCTGCCCCTAGACCAAGCAGAGAGGGGCCACCCAGAACCCCCTCTGACAGGCGATCTGAATTCTTGCTTAGGCTGTGAGGCTAAGCACTGCAAGGGAATATAAATAAAAGATAAAAATATCTCTCTGGGTTCCCTGAGGGACAAGCCTGACTGCATAGGGGTTGATGTCAAAAGTATCCCCTCTCCAGGAAAAAGACATCGGGATGGGTATGACCCTCATGCCTCACTGGACGACGACAGGGGGACTGGAGCCATTACAAGGTCCCCTTCAAATACTGGAGGTCAGGCCTCTATCCCCGCCTTCACAAGTTTAGAATTGCCACAGCCCTTCTATACTTAGAGAAGGGAGGAGATGTCAGGGGCAGCCCTGCTTACACACTGTAGGTCTAAAATTAGCCATAGGCCTAAAATCAGTAATATCATACATGTATATTAACACCAAGTTTTGGGTCTCAGTGGAAAAACAATGAAACAGATGGCTATAAGCTAATATCAACAGGCAGCTTTTGTGGAAATTTACAAGCCTGAGTAGTCATAGACCTTGTAAACAGGTAGCCTTGGCAGACAATGCCAGCTTAGATAAGGACAAGCGAGTCATAGGCAGAGTCATAGTGAATTGTCCCCTGAACCTTCACCTAGCTGATACCTGGTTCTGAAGATATCTGTATTCCCCCTGAACACCCACACTCCAGTGTCATTCCCTTCCCCACATCCTGCCTTTCTGTGTTTATAACCCCTGTGTGAATTAATTACTATTTGAGGAAAAAAAGAAAAGAAAAAGCTAAAGGCTGGTGTTTGCCAGAGTGGGAGCTTGTTTCTCAGAGAGAAATTTCATACAGTTCTGAGAACTTGTCAGACCACTTTGCAACAAATATGGGAGCTTAGACAAGGTGTTGGAGAGAGAAAACTTGACCAGCGCTGCTTAGGCATGCATACCTCTCGTCCTGTATTTAAACCTAAGCCTTGTGTTCACTGATACCTTTTTGTTCACCTTTCAATGGGGGGGCCACATTGAAGAAATATTCTTCCTCTGCTTTTTACTGTTAAAAAAATAAAAAATAAATAAAAAATAAAATAAAATTTCCCACTAAGGCTCAGTTGGTAAAGGAGTTTGCTGTGTAAGTCTAAGAACCCAAGTTTGTTCCTTGGAGCTCATGTAAATGTAGAAGGGGGAAACCAACTCTACGAAGTTGTCCTCTGACCTCCATATGCAAGTTGAGACGTGTGCCCCCATCATACATGTATGCACACACACACGCACACACACCAAAATTTGCTTGAAACTTTTTCCCACTAAATATAGGCATCACTGAACATCACAGTTGACAACTTCCACTCTTGTCATGTATAATCTACTCTCCACATACAGCAGCCAGGATAAAATAGTGTATAGCGTCTCTGTGTAACATCCTCTTCTGGTGTCTCATTGCACTTAAACTCTACTTAGCAAAACCAGTAAGAATGCAACTACTATTCTCTCATCCTTCCAGCCTCACCCTACCTCATTTCATTCTCTCACAATTACTCTTGTTTTCTTTAATAACATCTATCACAATGTTATTATGTATGTGCTCGGGGACTTACTTGCTTAGTTTCTGAATTCCTCACTAGGCTTGAGTTGCACATAATCCTAAGAGCTAGTATTATCTCTGTTGACCACCATATACTAGGAACCTTCCACAATGTCTAAACAGCAGACATTTGACAAGTATTCAGAGAAAGAAAGCAGACAGAAATGCTAGCTCAAAAATAACAGATAAAAAATGTTATTTTCATTTTGAACTTAACTGCAGACTACTGAATTATTCAGATTGGGAAAGAATGTAGGACATTCTGAGGTCACGAGCATCTGGAAGGGGTGGAGACATGTATACAAGTCTAAGCTAATACATGTCGAAGCTTCAAGGGCAGTTTAAATGCTCGATGCTGTTTTTAGCAGCTAAAGAACATAGAATCAAAGTAGCCAAAACCCAAAAATACAGTCCAAGCTACATTCAGAGGATGCCATGAGAGTTAATTACAAAAAGAAGCCTCTGTCTCCCACTATATCCCAAAGATCTCCCAACATAAATCTACCTGAAGTTACTGCTCCTTTGATACCCCCAAATATCATTGGATCTAGAGAAAGAAAAGGGTACTTCTTAAGCTAATCAAATGAACCTTTGGCTGACTATCCAAGTCGATCACTCGTTTGCTTTTAATCTATGTAATTTTTCCTGTTACTGTAATTTCCTTTTGAAATGTTAAAATTCTCCTTGACTAATTCTTGGGGGGGGGGATGCTTGTTTCCTAACCATCCTTCAGCTGTAATGGGTGAGAGATCCTTTCAGAGGTCAAGTGTGATGGCAATGCTGGCAGACTGTTGAGAACCTGGGATTTGGGGAAATAGAGGAGGGGAGGAGGGTAAAGTAACACTCGACTATCCACCCAAGATTTTGCTTTCAGGAAGTTTCTGTGGTGTTCTTTGTCCCTCCCCAGTATACCAATATCTTCCTGACTAACCAAGTGGATCAAATTTCTGAGAGTCACATCATCATGTTTTATAGAGCTTGTAATTGTAAATAAGGTGTCTAAGAGAATTTCCAAAAGTTTAAAGAGCCTGTGGGTTTTTATTTTCATTACAATGCAGCAGAATAGTGAGCAACAGACTTTTTACTCCTGGTAATACTTGTAAAAATGGAAATCTTTCATTAAATCCACACATTTGGTTAACAATATGCTTTGCTGTTACTGTTTTCAAAGAAAACATATCTGAGGTTAGACTGCTAGGAGTTTTAAATAACATATTTCTATCTAAGCATCTTGGAATGGGTAGAAAATACCAACCGTTGCACTAATTATTCTTCTGTGTAAACAGCACCCCTACCTAATGTTAGGCTGGTGGAGCCCAGCCAGTCAACGCCTGGTGGCCACTCTGACCTACAGGCCCCTTCTGAAGCTATTTGGGAATGATACTGTTAACTTTTTGCATAGGGTAATACCAAAAATTGTATAACTTTAAATTTTTTAGATACATTCTAAAAAAAAATAAGTACAAGTGAGCTTACTCTTTTTCATATTTCGGAAAATCTTCAAACTCTGTAAAAGTGAAGAGAGGAGAAAGTTAAATGTTTTTCCTATAAGTTTCAAACTGTTGTAGTCAACTAGAAATACAGACTTAACAGGATTAGTTTCCTTAATAATTGCCATGAAACTGCAATTATTTTTTCCATCTTATATCCTAATTTCAATATAAAACCACCACTTGACTCTCTCTTGCTGTTTTACCATATGTAGCCTAGCACATACCTAGAAACAATCCTGTCAAAATCCCAGGGACAAGGATGACAAGCCTTCACTCCCTCTACTGGGAGCACTCAAAACTGGCAACACCCTGAGGGTTGCTTTGCTTTTCAGTCATGGACTCTTTGCCCAGTTTTATTTTGAAGTTATGAATCTCTACCAATTCATCATATATTAGACAAACTCCCTGACCATGGTGCCAGCTGCAGTCCTCCTCTCCAGTCTGGTCTTTGTCTTTGATTTTTAGCTACCTTTTCTTCACTGTGCAGACATTTTGTTTCATTTAGTGGGCTGCCTGTATCTTCTGCCTCTCTGCTTCTGGATTGTTATAGTTACAAGGGCCACTCATGCTCCAGAGTTACAAAACTATCTTACCAAAAAGTACTCTTGTAATTCAGGGTTTTTAAAAATAGTTATTGTTAAGTTATTTGGGGGGTTGATTTTTTTTATTTTTAGGTTTTAAATTTTTTTGGATTGATTATTTTATATGTATAAATGTTTTACCTGAATGTATATCTATGCACCATGTATATGCCTAGTGCCCAAGGAGACAAGAAGATGGCATCAGATCCTCTGGAACCAGAGTTAAAGACAGTTAAGATCCACCATGTAAGTGCTGGGAATTAAGCTCAGGTCCTCTGAAAGAGCAGTCGGTGCTCTTAACTTCTGAACCATCTCTCCAGTTCCTTTTTAGTAGTTTTATGTGTATGTACACATTTTAACATTTAAATCTTTTAGCTATCTACACTTTATCCTAATGTAGATGTGAATTTTAGATCCTAAAATTTTTCTACATTATTTTTTTTTTGAGACATGGTCTCATGTATCCCAGCCTGGTCTTGAACTTCTGATACTCTTGCCTCCACCTCTTAAATATTCCGATATGAGTATTACAGACATGCACCACCATACCTAGGTCAAACCCCAGGCTTCAGGCATGCTTCAGGCAAGCTTCTGCTAACTGAGCTGCACTGTCAACCCACTAACAATTATGAAATTATCCAATCCTATCCCTGGATTGATATACATTAACCTTCTCTGCATGTAATGCATTTATTCTCATACACTAACATCTAACTATAAGTACTCTCATTCATTGCACATATTTGCTTTCTATTAATTTTGACTGTGCAAGAGCAAAACTCAATTTAGTAAACATGCTTAATGTAATTTTCAATCTTAGTGCTGTGGAAAGAAAAAAAACCAGTAGTAAGGGGAACTCTGGGATGTTTTCTAAGTCTCTTGTCTTACCTTGCTCCTTGTGAAACTTTTTCCAGGGGTCTTCAATGTCTGTTTAGAAAACGTTGAGTTCTCTGTGGTCTCAGGATAGCTAGTAGAAGAAGTTTTCATGGGTTGGACCTGTATACCTTAACAAAAAAGAAAAAGGAAAGGAAAAAGGTTTTGTTGTATAGTTTCTTAAGCCTGTGACTTAAATATAGGTGTAGATTCAGGTTTGGCCTATATGTTTGGCCTCTTAGATACCATTTTCATTATATATTATAAGCTCTAAAATGCACTCTTTTATTTAGTCATCTTTATACCTTTCCATGGAAGACTTACTGTATTTAATTTTGTTGAGTTTTTTGTTTTGTTTTGTTTTGTTTTGTTTCTTAGACAGGGTCTCATTGTGTAGCCCTGGCTGGCCTTCCACTCACAGATATCTGCCTCTCCCTCCCAGCAAAACCACCATGCTTAGTCTTTTCTTTGTTCTTAAGAGACAGGGTCTCACAGAGCTTAGGCTGTCCTTAAATCATGTGGCTAACGATGGCCTTGAATTCCTGATCCTCTTGTGTCCGCCTCTCAAGTGCTGAGATCACAGGCATAAACTAACATGTTTATCTTATTTTAAATCTTTTAACACTTCATTTTATAACTGCCAACTTACAGTCCTCATCAGCAAGAAAGAAGGACTCCGGAGTTCTTTCTGGGAGTGGAGGTGGAGGAGAATCATCCTGATGTTGATCTGTAAAAAGAAAAGAAATGCACCAATTAAAGTCAGGTTAGGATCCGTTTTGTGGCTCTGTAATTTTTGCTGTTTGTCCATTTTGGTCTGCAACCTCTGTCTTATTTACTTAAAGAAAGGAGTTTATGTTGGCTTTCAGCCCCAGTGTGTATAGCATTGTCGTGGGTAGTCCTGCTGGCAGAAACTCGAGCTCAGCTGCTTACATCCCACTCATGGTCAGAAAGCAGAGAGAGGTGATGCTGGTACTCCTCAGCTAGAGTTCCTTCCATCCAGTCCAGGACCCAGTCCCAGGGAATTAGTGCTAACCACTACTGGAGAAAATGGGGGGTCGGGGGTGTCTTTTCACCTCAACCTAATCAAGATAATTTCTCACAGGCATATTCAAAGGCTAGCTAAATCAAAATAGTCCCTCACAGGTGTACCTGGAGGCTTGCTTCCTAGACAATCTCAGATCCTATCCAACTAACCATCATGACCTCCAAATTAAAAAGGATCTGAACGCAGGGTTACAGGTGTGCTCTGCCATGTCCAGCTGGCACAAACCTTTGGCCCATTTGATGCCTTTCAGGGCCTCCATCTCCTGGGGTGGACAGAGCAACAATGAAATCAACAGTCACACAATGTAAAAGAAATTCTCTGAACAATGACCAGAGTCTCAAAAGTGCAGCCTTCTGCTCTGTTGGCCAAAGAGCCCATTACACATCAAAAACTTAAGAGCTCATTTACAGATATATTCTTCTGAAGAAACTGGAAACTAATTTTACCAAGGTTCTAGATCTAATTTATTTTACATAAACAATTTAAAGGATAAGAGACTATGTTAAATTAGTCATGAGAATACAATTCATTGAATTTAGAATTGTCCTTTAGGACCAATAATGCATTCTCTTCAGCAAATGAACAGTATACGAAAATACAAAAAAGGAAGAACTGTTACATTATTAAGAGAAGTAAAAATGCAGTGTGTAGTAAGCTGACCTTTTTTTTTTTTTGAGACAGGATCTCACTGTGTAGCCCTGGAATACACTATGTAGACCAGGCTGGCCTGTAACTCACAAGAATTCTGCCTGCCTCTGCCTCCCAAGTGCTGGAGTGAAAGGCATGCACCACCAAAGAAATGCTGAAAAGGCATTTCTGAGACAGATGGAGGATGCAAGATAGGCTGAGAATCAGAATCTCTGCAACCTCAGTGTTCACAGAAGTCTCTGGTCCACACAAAGCAGGATGCCTGGCCCCATGTGCTCTGTGAGACAGAGGCTTGCTCCTGAGGAGTTTAGTGAGCCAGCTGGTAACCTGGACTTGCCAACTCACTGTCTTCTGGCTAGACTTAAGTCTTTCAAAACCTTGCTACATTTTATCTACTTAAGCTTATCTTCTGTACTTTACAAGTTTGAACCTCTATGGAAGAGACAGTAACTGAGTCACCAGCTCAGTCCTAGAATACTTGCCTAGTATGTATGAACACATGTATGAACACTTGCCTAACATGTATGCATTTTATCTCAGTACTATAAAATAAACTGGAAACCTGCTCATGGGTTCTCCACAAACATGATGTTCCCCCGAGTCTCCTTAAGCTTCTGATTTCTTCTGTAATTCCTTTTTCCTTTTTCTAAATTTTCTAGAACCGTTCTGCTGAATACAGGCTTTCCTATCATCCTGTTTTTCCGAATCCTGCTGATTATAGTTAGTGCCACATAGATGACCAATTAATGATTCCACATGGATATTAATTGTATTCACCCAACTTGAATCTAAGCATATTAATGGTACTTTTTAGCTGCTTATACTGGTGGAGGATGAAAAGTTTAAGGCCAGCCTGGCTGCTATATGGCTAAACTTGTCTCAAAAAGAAGGAAAGAAAGAAAGAAAGAAAGAAAGAAAGAAAGAAAGAAAGAAAGAAA